TGTGCTCAGCAGGAGTCTGCTTGAGGCTTTCTCTGTCTTCTCCCTCTGCCCCTCTCTCTACCTGTGCTTGCATGCTCTGTCTTCCTCTCTCTCTCTCAAATAAATAAAATCTTAAAAAAAAAAAAAGTGTAGAAGGCTTGAACAGCACTACCCTGACTCCACCAATAAGGGCAGACTACACATGCTTTGCAAGTGCAAGGGCACACGGAATATTGGCCAAGCTAGACTATATTCGGGGCCATCAGTTGAATCTTGATAAACTTAAAAGGATTTAAATCTGCTCACAAAGGAATTAAATTAGAAATGAGTAACAGAAAGATCTGTGAAAGACCACAGATATTTGGAAACAAAAAGACATTTCTAAGTAACCCATGGCTCTAAGAAGAAATCAAAAGGGGGGAAATTATAAGGTATTTTTTTGAATTAAAAAGATGAAACCTACATCACAGCTTGTGGGATGCTCCAAAGCAGTACTTACAGGGACATTTATAGCATTAGATGCCTCCATTAGAAAGGCAGAACATTCTCAAACCAATGATCTCCTCTTTTGCCTTAAAAAACTAGAAACAGAAGAGCAAATTAAGCTGAAAGTAAGCAGAAAAAAGCAAATATAAAAATCAGTGGAAAAAAATCAGTGGAAATCAATGAACTAGAAATAGAGGAAATGAATGAAACAAAAAACTAGTTCCCTTAGGAGAGCAATAAGAATAGTAAATCCTGGGGTACCTGGATGGCTCAGTCAGTCAAGTGTCTGTCTTCATCTCAGGTCATGATCCCAGGGTCCTGGGACTGAGCCCCACATTGAGCTTCATGCTCAGCAGGGAGCCTGCTTCTCCTCCTCCCTCTGCTGCTTCTCCCCCTGCTTGTGTGCTCCCCCCACTCTCTTTTTCCATCTGTCAAATAAATAAAATAAAATCTTTAAAAAAAGTAAACCCTTAATTGGACTGATCAAAAAATTAACATCAATAATGAGAGTGGGTTTTTTTTATTTTTGTTTTATAAATATTTATTTATTTATTTGAGAGAGAGAGAGAGAGAGAGAGAGAGAGAGAGAGACAGCGCAAGCAGGCTGGGGAGGGACAGAGGGAGAGGAAGAGAATCTCAAGTAGACTCCATGCTAAGCATGAAGCCTGTCCCACGGCTAGATCCCCCAACCCTGAGACCATGACCTGAGCTGAAACCAAGAGTTGGACACCTAACCCACTGAGCCAGCCAGGCACCCCAGTAATGAGAGTGTTAACGTCATTACAGACTTTAGAGATATTAAAAAGATAGTAAGAGAATCTTGTGGTGCCTGGGTGGCACAGTCGATTGAATGTCTGACTTTTGGTTTCAGCTCAGGTTAGGTCTCAGGGTCAGGGGTTTGAGCCCTGTGACAGGCTCTGTGCTCAGTGTGGAGTCTGCTTGAGATTCTCTCCTTCTCCCTCTGCCCCTCCCCCCACTCTCTCTAAAATAAATAAATCAATCTTAAAAAAAGAAAAGAGAATCTTATGAACAACTCTATGTCAATAGATTCAAAATTTTAGATGAAATGAACAAAATCCTTGAAAGTCACAAACTACCAAATCTCATGCAAGAAGTAGGTAACCTGAATTTCTCCATGTCTTTTAAAATAATTGAATTTGTAATTAAAAACATTCCCACAAAGAAAACTGCAGGCCCTGGTGCCTTCTAGTGAATTCTATCAAATATTAAAAAAAGAAATAACACCAATTTTACCCACCTCTTCTAGAAAATTGAAGAGGGGGAATATTACCACCTCATCCTATGAGGTTAGCATTACCCTGATATCAAAACCAGAGAAAAGCACTACAATAGAAGGAGGCTACAGACCAATTCCTTCATGAATTATATGTATTTTACTACAATGAAAAAATGAAGGCAAAATAGAGTTTTTCAGACATGCAAAAGCTATAGACTAATATCCTTCATGTTTAGATGTAAAAATTTTAAACAAAATTTTGGGACATTGAATCCAATAACATTTAAAAATACCATGACCAAGATAGTTTAATATTTGAAAACTAATCAATACAATTGACCATATTCAAAAAGTAGACACAAAACCCTATATGATCACCTTAACAGACACAGAAAAAGCACTGGATAAAATTCAATATCCTTTCCTGACTAAAAATAAATTCCCAACAAATTAGGCATAGAAGGGAACTTCTTTAACTTGAAAAACCTATAGCTAATACCACATTTAATGATGAAAGATTGAATGCATTTCTCCTAAGATAAAGAAGAAAACAAGGATGTCCATTCTCACAGCTTCTATTCAGTTCTGTAGCAGATGTTCTAGCCAGTGAAATGGGGCAAAACAGAATGGGAAAACTGAAGAGAGAAAGAGGAGATGAAGAAGAAGGAGGAGAAGGAGAAGGAAAGAATGAGGAGGTTGGGCAAAGGGGAGAGGAGGGAGGAAGGAAGAAAGAAAGAGAAAGAAAGAAAAAGAAAGAAAGAAAAAGAAAGAAAGAAGGCATTTATATTGGCAAAAAAGTAAAAATATCTTTATTTGCAGATGACATGATTGTCTATGTAGAAAATCAGATGGACTCTATAAACAGCCACTAGAATGAATAAGACTGGCAGGCCAAGATCAATACACAGAAATTAATTCTATTTTTATATACTAGCAAGGAACAATATGAAATTAAAATTAAAAATACCATTTATACTAATTTCAAAAAATACTTAGGAATATTTCTGATAAAAGTTGTGTGACAGCTGAAAACTACGAAACATTGCTGAGAGAAATAGAGAGCTATGCCTTGTTCATGGGTCAGAAGACTCAGTATTTTTAAGATGTCTTCCCAAATTTATCTACAGATCCAAAGCAATCCCAATCAAAATCCCTGCAGGCTTTTTTGTGAAATTGACAAGCTAATTCTAAAATTCATTCAGAAGTGCAAAGGGGGAAGTAGAACAGCCAAAACAACTTTGCAAAAGACAAATTTAGGGATTAGGATGACCTGATTTCAAGGCTTACAAAAAGCCACAGTAATCAAGAGAGTGTGGTACTGGTGTAATGATCAAGAGATGAATGGAACAGAATTGCGAATCCCGAAATGGGCTCCCCCCATATATGTGGAAACTGACTTTTGACAAAAGGGCAAAGGTGGAGAAAAGATACTTGTTTTAACAAATAACGTTGAAACAATTGGATATCCATGTGCAAAAAATGAACTCTGATTTACACCCTTCATCATGTATGAAATGTAACCTAGAATGAATCACACACCTAAATGTAAAATAGGAAGTCATACAAATCCCAAAGAAAACATGAAAGAAAATAGAGGAGACAAATTTTGAGCTTATGGTAGGCAAAGATTTCATAGCAATGACATAAAAACTCTAGAAGCAATAAATCAGTAAATTGGACTTCATTAGCATTAAAAACCTTGTTCTTTGAAAAATACCATTAGAGATAAAAACACAAACTACAGAACGTGATGGAACATTTTCAACCACATAACTGATAATGGCTTTGTTTCTAGAATATATAAAGAGATTTCAAAATTTAATAATAAGAACACAAATAAAGCAATAGAAAACGCAAATGACTTGAAGAAACACTTCACCAAAGAAGATACATGGCAAATAGGCACGTGAAAAAATGCTCAGCATTATTAGTCATTAGGGAAATGCGACATAATGCCATAACGAGCTACCACTAATCACCTATTAAAATGGTTAAAATGGGGGTGCTTGGGAGGCTCAGCCAGTTAAGTGACCAACTCAGGTCATGATCTCAGGGTCGTGAGATTGAGCCCCGCATCAGGCTCTGCACTCACCATGGAGCCTCAGATTCTCTCCCTCTCCTTCTGCCCCTCCTCCTACTTGTCCACATTTGCTTGCTGTCTCTCAAAATAAATAAATAAAATCTTTAAAAATTTAAATAAAATAAAATATTTAAAACGAACAAGACTGACCATACCAAGGGTTGGTGAGAATGTTGTTAAACCAGAATACTTGTTATAATGCTGATTCAAAAAACAGCAGTTGAGCAGTTTCTTAAAAATTTAAACATATACCTGTTGTACAATCCAGCCATTCTACATCTAAGGAAATAAAAGTATATGTCCATCAAAAAACTTGTATGAATGTTCATAGCAGCTTTATGTTTAATAGTAACAGACTGGCAACAACCCAAATGTCCACTGATGGGTGAATGGGTATGCAAAGTGGTATATTCATACAATAGGATAACATTTAGCAAAAGAAAGGAACGAGCTGCTGATACACACAACAATATCGATGAATCTCAAAATAATTATGCTGAGTGAAAGAAGCCTGACATAAAAAGGGCATGTGAGTCATAAGAGTCATAGGAGTCAGTGTACATGAAACTCTAGAAACTGTAAAGGAATCTGTGGAGATAGCAGATCAATGGTTGGCTGGGTATGGGGGCAAAGGGGTGCAGAGTCAGGAGGCAATTTTGGGGAGCGCTGGCTAGGCTCACTACCATGACTGTGGTGATGGTTTCAGAGGTGTGTTTGTGGGTCAAAACTTGGCACAATATGCTCTTCAAACGTGTACGATTTATTGCATCTCAATTACACTTCAATAAAGCTGTTTTTTTGTTTTGTTTTGTTTTTTTAAGATTTTATTTATTTATTCATGAGAGACAGAGAGAGAGAGAGAAGCACAGACACAGGAAGAGGGAGAAGCAGGCTCCATGCAGGGAGCCTGACATGGGACTCGATCCTGGGTCTCCAGTATCACACCCTGGGCTGAAAGCAGCACTAAACCGCTGAGCCACCCGGGCTGCCCTGTTTTGTTTTGTTTTTATTTAAAAAAGGAGGTAGTGAGGGAGAAGGGACAGGAACATGCTCCAGGCAGAGGTTTCAGAGGCCTGGAGATGAGGACGGGAGGGGTTCTAAGAAGCGAGAAGGTTCTGCATGGCTGGAGAACATGGCGGGAAGTTGAGAGTAGGGAGACATGAAGCTGATTATTGGTCCCTTGTGATGTGTTTATAATTTGTTTTGTGCCTCCTTCAGGATCTGTGGGAAGCTTTGGACGGTGCCCAGGCCTGCCCCACTGCGATCCTGTTTTTCCTGCTTCTTGCAGGCTCCCGTGACACGCAGCCATCCCATGGAGATGTTCAAGTGAGCCCGTTCCTGAGGTCAGGGCCCAGAATAGTCAGGGCTTGAAGGAAGGAGGCTGTCAGCTGGGAGGAGAGGATGGCAAGTGCCCAGTATCATGAGTTCAGAGGCTGGAGGGGGTGGCCTGGGGATGTGCAGGCCGATGGGCCCCAGACCATGTCCCCGTGGGGATCTGCATGAGTTCACAAAAGCCTATGTGCAGAGGATATGTTTGACCAAGCCCTGTTTGCTGAATGGGTTGTCTGACGCACATGGGTCTATCAGAGTTCTCTGCAGCTGTGTCAAGAGCAAAGGCTGGATGGGGAGGCAGAGCACTGGGCAAGCAGAGTTTGAAACATCCCATGCACTTGCATGAGGAGTGTCCATAGCAGGTCAAAGAGCAGAACAGGGAAACTGACACTTCCAGAACACTGCTCAGTAGCTAGGCCAGCTGATCATTTTGTGGGTGATCTTCCCCAACCTGATTTTTGCAAACCCTCCTGCTGCCCCTGAGAGGAACCAACAGATATGGATGTGACCCCCTGGGCAGGGTTGTGAGTGGGGTGTTGTCTGGAATGCTCTGTGGGCCTAGGCTGTGCTGGGGGGTGCCTGATGAAGGCAGAGGTGGCGGGGAGAAGGGACAAGGCAGGATCTGCATGGGACAGGGCAGACAAGAAAAATCCATATTCAATACGGTCCGCAAACAAGATGGCCTAACAAAGAAGGACAATGGGGTGACATGAAAGATGATATGGCAGCTCAGCAGAGGAAAAACGGGGCCACAGGGGTGGCAGGTGGCTGTGAATGTCTTTTTGGTGAGACAGGACTGACACGGGCCTACAAGATGAATTTAGATTTGGATGAGGACAGGAAAGAAGGATTTTCCAGGCAGAGGGAAAGGCCCTGAGCAGAGGGTGAGAGATGAGATGTACAATAGCCAGCGAGTTCTGTGTCATGTCAGTGTCAGGAGCGCTCACTTCCAAATGATCCTGCGTAATATTAGAACCACCCCTTGATTAATGGTATGCAGCCAGTTTGGAAATGCCAACAGTGGTTGAGATTATGGGTGGTAGGGTTTGTACATTTGTTAATGTGTTTTCTAGTGATTTTTTCCACCACCAGTGTATGTTACTTGTGTCATTCAAAAAAAAAAACAAATGTTATGAATCTGCAAACCAGCAAACCTAACCTGTTTCCTTTCAAGACCAGACCTTCCCGGAACAGTAGCCGGAGGACAGCCCGGCTCTCCCTGCGAGATGGAAGCCCAGGGGGTGTCCAGCCTCCATCTGTCTGTGAGCCTTCCCAGGGGCCCTGCAGCTCCTATCAGGCCATAGGCTTGACTGGACGTAGGCCAGCGGTGGGAGAACCTGCTCTGGCTGGCATTGCAAGGTGCCAGGCACACCTGAGCAGCCGGGCAGGTGTGACAGATGCCCTGGACCACATGGAGCTGGCTGTGCCTTGCGCACACGCCACCGTCCCATCCCACCTCCCCTCTCCAAACCTCCCTCTGCTTCCCGGCTAGCTCAGGTGTGGCGCATCTGTGGCCCATTGGCAGCTTTCTTGCCCGCAGTGCTAGGGAGCTGTCAGGTTAAAAGCTGGCTTGCTCGATTTGATCCCACATGTGAGCTGTTTTATTTCCCTCTCTCTCCCTTACATGGCTTCGGTGTGCTTTTATAAATATTTCACTAGCCTTGCTAAAGTCTATTTCATCTCTCTCTTAAATTTATTAAATATAAATGCAGCAACAACTCCAGCATAAGTCTCTCTTTGCTGTCAAAATCTCAGGCTCCCGTGGAAGTAAATATAATTTGCTTTGTTTACTGTGGGTAATATGGAGCCCTATCTTTTGTATCAGCACTGCCCGTGCCCCCCAAATTTCCCTGCTTTTGTTACCAGGGGCCTGCCACATTCTCATGTAGGGCACAGGGACCCGGTGCCCACTTTGAAGATGGCATAACAAAGAGCCAGCAGAGGCTGTTCTCTGAGACTTGCCCAGCCAGAGTCCCTTGGTCCGTTGGTCTCCCGTAGGCACCCTCGATGGGTAAAGGGGCACCTGTGCTCATCACCCCAGACCCGTGCAGGCCTGGAGGCCTGTCTGAGCAGTGCTCTGCCACTTGCCCCTTGCCCCTTGTTCTCTTGGAGAACAGGCCCATCTGAGCAGCTGGTGATCTGGCCAAAAGAGACGCAGATGGGAATCATTGAGGCCATTAACATCCCTCCCACCCTCCCCAGACCTGCAGTCAACAGAACCAGGGGCAAGGCAGGAATTCTGGTCCCCAAAAGCAGGCCATGAGCACCACCCCCAACCCCCTAGTCACTTCCTTTGTTCTTTGTTAATTGCAAAATAAACACAACCCTGCCCACCGACTGTGGGGAGAGATTTCTGCCAACCGGGGTAACCAGCAGGCAGTGTCAGGGGCCGCCTTTGGTTCTGGCAGCATTTGCGCTCCACACTGGCCGAGTGTGATCTCCTGGAGGATGTCAGGAGCTCGGAGGATCACGGTGTCAGAGGTGGGAAGCACCCAGTTTAGGGCTTGCGAGGTCAGGCCCCCCAGGGCCGGCTGGTAAGGGGGAATGAGTGAAATGGGATGTCAAGATGGAGACGCAGGTACCCTCTACTTGCATCTGGAATCAGCGAGAAGAGTTTCTTCTTTCACAAAGAGCTGGCCTCTTTCACAAGGAAATGTGCCTTTCCCCATTTCTATTTCTAATACAAACGACCCTGTTGGTCTTTTCTCCTGCTTTTCTCTGTTTTTGTAGTGATACCGATGCAGAAAATATTCTATTTCCTTTGCCTATAGTCAGAGGACAAGGCTTGGCCCAGAACCCTGTTCCCAACTCATAGCCTAGAACCTTCCACCAAACCTGCCAAGATGAAAGCGGGTGGTTTTACACAGGCTCCGATGACATGAGCTGGAGGCGTGCTCGAGGCTCCCAGGAACCCAGATCTGTGTAATACCCTCCAAAGCTTCAGAACACGGGCTCTGCGTTTGTGCCCCATGGTCTCTGGGGCTGTCTTGCAGATTCAAGAAGGGTGCCGTGTGGGCCCAGAGATTTTCGGCCTTCGTGTCCCATTTAGATATAGCAGGGTAAGACAATTTTTGCTTCAGGAGGTAATAGGAGCATGTTTTGGGAGTGAATTTAAGACCTCTTCCATATTATGTCAACATATTAAAATCTACTCAGCTGACATTGAACGAAATTATTTTGTATAATCATTTTGCTTTAAACATGTTAGAATGGGGTTTAGAGTCTTGTTTTTGAAATTATTAGATTATTAGTTATTTTGATTTCATAATTCTCTTTTTGTCTTTTAGCCAATACCCTAGTTTTGTTTGTTTGTATCTCAAGCATGTTTAATGACCCCTGAAAAATCTGTAGACTTCCCTGCTTACCCCAGGGTAAACCAGGCTGAGCCATGGGTCTGGGAAAGATGAGCCAGAGGGGGTTCCCGGGTGGGTGCAAGGGAGCCACTTGCCCCCCTCCATCTTGCCTCCTTCTGGACAGCTCTGGGGAAACCACCCCCCCCACCCCCCCACCCCGGCCTGCCGCCCGCAGACCCCTGCCAGCTTCCCCACCCTGGCTGCGTGGGAGGCTTCGAGTCCCCAGAAGGCAAATGACACGGGCAGTGGCGGGCTCTCTGTGTCAATTGCATGATGGCTTCGGTCTGGGGCTGGTGGCTTCCTGCCTCACCATTGGGAGTAAGGCTATTTCAGGATCTCACTGCTTCCCTTCTGTTCCAGGGAGGGAAGGATGGAGGGCAGGCAGTGGAGGAAGGTGGAGCCACTGTGTCTGCTTCCACCAGGTGTTTCAGAGGCAAACTTTTCTTCTCCTGCTTCTGCTGCCCACTGCTGGTGGAAGGGGCTTGTCGCATTAGCATAACTTTCTTTGAAAGGCTTTTCTTCCCCACTTTTTTGGAGAAAAATATTTTAAAAGCCTCGTCACATTCTACCCAAGGTTAGGAAAGTGGCCATATAAGGCAAAATCACCCGTGAGTTTTACCAATTTACCTTGAAAATCCTGCAAATTATTAGAATCCTCCTGAGAATGTGTTAATTTTGTTTCTTGGGCATTTCAGCCGTGGCTTCCCATTCCCTGGGGTGGTGAGGGCAAAGGAAGAGTGACATTAAGGCCCCTCTGTCTGTCTGCCTGTTTTTCTGTCCCTCTCTCTGGCTGAGCTCACTCGGCTGAATTTGGGTAAGGCAGCCAGCTGTAGATATGAATCAATTCTATTGTACTTCCGCACGATACTTTCATTTTGTCAAAATACTCTTACACTCCCCAATCCCTGGGAGGTTGGAAAGAGCGGAGCTGCTACCTCTATGTTTCCTACGAGGACACTGAGGCAGGGGAAAGGCAGCCATTCGCCAGGTGGCACACAGTCCCTGGGACCCCTGGCTGGTAAGGGGGAATGAGTGAAATGGGATGTCAAGCCATTGGGCTCCTTTCACTGTCCCGTACCACCCCTTGTCCTGGTTTGGGTTCCCAGTTCCCGGGGGAGGAGGCCTGGGGAGGGCCCAGACTGGGGTCTCCTCCAGCTGTGGGTTAGGGCAGTCGTGGTTCTCACGTGGGAACCACTTTGCCTCTCAGGGGACAGCTGGCATGGTCTGGAAACATTTTTGGTTGTCACAACTGGGGGTTGCTACTGGCATCTAGTGGGTAGAGGCTGTTAAACATCCTACAACACAGAACAAGGCCCTCCTCTGCCACGACAAAGGACCCCTGGGCCCAGACTATCAGGCAGAGGAACTCTGGGTCAGGGGAATGAACTGCACGTGACCGCCTTCTAAGCCCTCACTCTGCGAGTAGCAAGTATTCATGGAGCTGTAGGCATGCGCGGTGCATGTGTGGTGTGGTCCCAGCTCCGCCACCTCCACCAGCATTCACTCATTACATCCTCATAAGACGTGATAAGGCAGGTGATGCTCTCCATGGGACACACGAGGGGATTGGGGCTTAAGGGGGGTTTCCTGTGAGGTAGTAGTCGGGGTCACTCATAGGGAGGGAGAGAAGCAGGAGTGGGTAGGACAAGCCTAGCGATGATGCAGTCACAACAAAGGGCCCAGGCGATCGTCCTGGGAGCCCTGGAGCTGGTGCGGTTCATCAGAACTATTCCCACATGGGGTAAGGAATCCAGGCCACTGTACCACCAGCCCCCAACATCAGCCCTCAGATGTGGGCTACTCCAGGGAGGGGTGTCTGTGGGTGAAGGGTCTCTTTCAGCGGAGGGCAGGACCTGGGAGCGCCTCGAGGAGAGCAGAGGGCCAACTCTCTCCTGGCTGCCGTCTGCCAAGTGATTCAGCTCGGGAGGGGGCACGGGCGCAGCAGGGCATCTACCACAAGGGGCTTGAACCCTCGTCCAGGCCGGCTCCAGAGCAGAGCCACAGTGCCTCCTTAGTGTGACATGGGGAGTCCATGGAGCCCCAGGTCTAACCCCAGGCCTTAAATTCTTGGCAGAGTATGAGTTCGCTTTTCTCAACCCCAGAAGTCACAAACTGGCAACAAACACCAAGACGTGTTTTGTGTAGATGCTACAGCATTGAAGTATTTTTTTTTATTTTATTTTTAAGCAATTGCTGGACCCAATGTGGGCTAGAACTCACAACCTCAAGATCAAGAGTCATGTGCTCCACCTTCTGAGCTGACCAGGCGTCCCTAAAATATGTTTAATTAGTTGCCACCATCCTCATCACGAGGAGATTTCATACAGAGCTCTGGATTTCTAGTTTTCATTGTGGGAGATCCGGCAATGGAGGGCCACATTCATGCTGTGCAGCTGGGGGCCCTTTTACAGGGTGGGTGGCCTTGGCCCACGACCCTCGGTTACACATCTGGGTCACGAGTCTTACCCTTGACAGGAGCTACTGCTGGAGCGGGCTCCTGGGCAAGCCTGGCTGTTTGTCAGGCCTCCCTGGCAGATGGAGCACCGGGGTTTGCGTGGTCAGTGATCTCGGGGCCTTTCCCTCTGCCTGCGTCCCACTGTGGCTTTTAAGGCAAATCTCAAAAATCGCAGCGAACGCTTCTCAATGAGAACCACCAGGAACAAGTCTGCCCTTTGTTCCGGGACGTCCCCGCCCTTCTGTCCCGGCTCCGCCACGCGTGTCCCTCCCTCTCCAAGTGGTCTTTGGTTTTCGTGGGTGACTCCATTGTTAGGAGCCACCCGGCCGCGGGACGAGGGTGGTTGACGGGCTTCTGAGCGCGTTTGCGATCGCGCGAGGTAGCAGCTTCATTCCTCAGCGATGAGTGACCCATATTTCCTAACGTGATTTCCCTGCTGTAACTCAAATTGAGTTCATGTTATTCTAATGATATCAGTTGACCTTGAGAATTAGACCAAGAAGCCTGGGGTTATTCTTCCAACTTCCACTGCAGATTCTTGTGATGTGTTTGGAAACACAATCTGCTCCGCATTGCCCTGAAGTGGGCAGGGGGAGAAATAGAAAACAAAGATTCTGAGCTGCTCTGATTTGTAGAAAATGCATCTGGGCCATTTCAGATCCTGGATGGAGGAGTCCTTCAGATCATGGGGGGGCTCCTTCAGGCCCCAGGGCACTCTTTCAGATCATGGGGGCTCCTTCTCTCTCAATCCTGCTCCTGCCACTGTGTGCAGCTGCATTTCCCTGCACCCAGGTACTGCCAGCTGAAGACCAAGATTGGGCCTCCTTTGCCCCTGCCCCTCCTCTGGGTCTCTGGGTCTTCCTTGCTAGGA